CCCCAGCCCCTGCCGCAGCTAAAGTGGTTTTGACCGGGTTGCAAGCACTCAGTGAATATTTGTTCAAATTCAGTTGACTTTTCTGTTAAGTGGCGAGTAAGTGCCAGACACCGCATTAGACACTTAATGACGGAGGCTCGGTAGAAGCCTGTTGGCCTGGAAATGAATCCTGAAGTAGCAGATAGAGGCTTAAGGATATGATAAGCAAGTCAAGCTTCCTCCTAACAGTGCAGACGGGGAGAGGCTTGTATCTCTGGGCTTTTCTCTGACATGTAACAGTATTTTCTGTCTTATGAAAGCAAAGTGGCTGGAAAGGAGAAAGGAAACACGCCCGAGATTAAGGCAGCCTTATCTCATTTTCAAGATTACCACTTTATTTGAAAAGGCCTCTGGCTCCTGAGGCCTTCTGGTTCCTCAGCGTACAGCCTGTGGCATAGACGCGGGGGTCTTGTATGTAGGAGTGATTCTGTTTGCTGACTTGTACCCACATCTTTAACTGTGGTGTTGCAGAAGACCCTTGAGAGTCCCTCGGACTGCAAGGAGATGCAACCAGTCCATCCTAAAGGAAATCAGTCCTGAATATTCATTGGAAGGACTGATGCTGAAGCTGAAACTCCAATCCTTTGGCCAACCTGATGTGAAGACCTGACTCAGTGGAAAAGACCCTGATGCTGGGAAAGATTGAAGGAGGGAGTAGAAGGGGACGACAGAGGATGAGATGGTTGGATGGCATCACTGACTCGATGGACACGAGTTTGAGCAAACTCTGGGAGTTGGTGTTGGACAGGGAGGCCTGGCGTGCTGCAGCCCACGGGGTCACAAAGCGTCAGACACAACTGAGCGACTGAACTGAACTGAACTGAACACACATCTTTAGCCCAGATTGCTCTGCCTTGATATTTTAAATGAAGACTGGAAATTTTCATGACCCTTCTTTTTTTTTTTTTTTTTGGCCACATCACATGGCATGTGGGAAGCTTAGCTCCACATCAAGGATTAAACCCTTGCCCCCTGCAGGGGCAGCACTGAGTCTTAACTCCTGGCCCAACAGGGAAGTCCCCTAATGGCCATTTAGTTCTATTCCTCCCCAACATTTGCTTCCTCTTCCCACTCAATTTATGAATATGTCACTGGGCTTCCCAGTTGGCCCTAGTGATAAAGAACCCACCTGCCGATGCAGGTAGACGTTAAGAGATGCGCATTCGATCCCTGGGTTGGGAAGATCCCCTGGAGGAGGAAATGGCAACCCACTCCAGCATTCTTGCCTGGAGAATCCCATGGACAGAGGAGCCTGGTGGGCTACAGTCCATAGCGGGCTACAGTCCATAGGGTCGCACAGAGTCAAACAAGACTAAAGTGATTTAGCACATCACAGCATTACTTAGGCATTCTTAATAGATTTAGTGTTTATTGAATGCCCTCTTTGTCCCAGCACTATGTAAACACATACCGCACAGTCTACATAATCTTATGAGAATCATTGTCATTATTACCCTATTAGAGCTCAAGAAATACTGAAGGAGATTTGCAAGAAGGGCTAGTCCTCAGCCCATGTGGAGGAGGCCCAGATGAGGAGTCCTGTGCCCAGATGCCAGGAGCCCTTTCTGGAGATTACTGTCACGGCTCTTGCATCCCTTATACTTAGTTCCTAAGTCACCTTGCCTCTAATAAGCTTGACAAATGTTGCTACAATTTAAAGAAAGTGCTTATTCACCATAAAGTCTCAGTTTAAAAAATGTGTTAAGAAAATCTCAACCCTTTATTTCTCCCCAGCTCTTTTGAGATATATCTGACATAGTGCCCTAACTTGTATGTTACTAAGAATTCCTTAAATCTTTAAGCCTCATGTCTAAGAGTTCTTTAAATCTTACAATTAATTACTCTTAGGCCTTTAAGTAATGCTCAAAATTCTCCAAGCTAGGCTTCAGTGGTATGTGAAGTGAGAACTTCCAGATGTTCGAGCTGGATTTAGAAAAGGCAGAGGGACCACAAATCAAATTGCCAGTATCCGTTGGATCATAGAAAAGGCAAGAGAATTCCAGAAGAATATCTACTTCTGCTTTATTGACTGCACCAAAGCCTTTGACTGTGTGGATCACAGCAAACTGTGAAAAATTCTTAAAGAGATGGGAATACCAGACCACCTGACCTGCATCCTGAGAAGTCTGTATGCAGGTCAAGAAGGAACAGTTAGAACCGGACATGGAACAATGGACTGGTTCCAAACTGGGAAAGGAGTATGTCAAGGCTGTATATTGTCACCCTGCTTATTTAGCTTCATGCAAAATATATACTTCATGCAAAATGCTGGACTGAATGAAGCTGAAGCTGGTACAAAGGTTGCGGGGAGAAATATCAGTAACCTCAGATATGCAGATGACACCACCATTATGGCCAAAAACAAAGAGGAGCTAAAGAATGTCTTGATGAAAAAAAAGACTGAAAAAGTCGGCTTAAAAGTCAACATTCAAAAAACTAAGATCATGGCACCTGGTCCCATCACTTCATGGCAAATATATGGGAAACAATGGAAATAGTGAGAAACTTTATTTTCTTGGGCTCCAAAATCACTGCAGATTGGGACTCTAGCCATGAAATCAAAAGACGCTTACTCCTTGGAAGAAAAGCTATGACCAACTTAGACGGCGTATTAAAAAGCAGAGATGTTACTTTGCTGACAAAGGTCTGTCTAGTCAAAGCTATAGTTTTTCCAGTGGTCATGTATGGATGGGAGAGTTGGACTATAAAGAAGGCTGAGCGCCAAAGAATTGATGCTTTTGAACTGTGTGTTGGAGAAGACTTTTGAGAGCCCCTTGGACCAGAGGAGATCCAACCAGTCCTTCCTAAAGGAAATCAGTCCTGAATGTTCATTGGAAGGACTGAGGTTGAAGGTGAAACTCCAATCCTTTGGCCACCTGATGCAAAGAGCTGACTCATTGGAAAAGACCCTGATGCTGGGAAAGATTGAGGGCAGGAGGAGAAGGGGACGACAGAGGATGAGATGGTTGGATGGCATCACCGACTCCATGGACATGAGTTTGAGTAAACTCCGGGAGTTGGTGATGGACAGGGAGGCCTGGTGTTTTGCAGTCCATGGAGTCGCAAAGAGTTGGACATGACTGAGCAACTGAACTGAACTGAACTGAAGCCTTTTAGGACTAATTTGCCATCAAACACGTAATTTAGCATAATTATTAAACAACGATTGGCCCTTCCCAGGTGTAGCTGTCAAGCATGAGGTATGAATGCAAGATGGTCCATGGGATGCAGGGTGATGCATTCTGGTTAAAAGTGCTTTCAGCTGGCCCCAGTGTAGTGAAGTGGCAAGAGGAAGACCTTCAAAGCCCTGGTGGGGACAGAAGGAAGGGGTGGGGTAGCCTCGTCCCCAAGCAGCCTTTGTGGGAGCCCAGACCCCGGCCCCCAGAGGAGGTGCTGCAAACATGTGTTTTCTTCTTGGAAAGGATTTTCAGTCTTGCTACTCAACGCTAACAGCAAAACGTCCACTCCAGAAGGATCTTTCAAGGGGATAAAATCTGCATAGACGAGGGAGCGTAAAAATGAATCAGTTGTCACAGCCGTGACGGTCACTGAGATTTAATTAGGAATACAGCTCATAGTCTGGTCGTTACTGTCTCTCTCATTACCCGTCTTGATTAGAATGAGCTTTTTGTAACCATGAATTCAGAATATAGAGCAAACGATCAACTATAGGGTAATAGTAAGTTTACAAAAAGGTATATGTAATGAATATTTTATAATCAATAGATATAAATAGATAGACATGAATATATAAATATTAAATATATGTAGTAGGTTTAGTAACTGATAAGCTTTAAAGAAACCCATACCTAGTGGCTCAGACAGTAAAGTGTCTGCCTATAATGCAGGAGACCCGGGTTTGATCCCTGGGTCGGGAAGATCTCCTGGAGAAGGAAATGGCAACCGGCTCCAGTATTCTTGCCTGGAAAATCCCATGGACAGAGGAGCCAGGTAGGCTACAGTCCACAGGGTTGCAAAGAGTCGGACACAACTGAGCGACTTCACTTTCACTTTCAAGCTTTAGAGAAACATTTTTTGGGCCTTAAAGTGATACTTTCATCCTCCATATCAGTTGGGCTAATGGAGATTAACCACAAATTAGCTGAAAAGTGAAAGTGAAGTCGCTCAGTCGTGTGAGACTCTTGGCGACCCCACGGACTATAGCCCACCAGACTCCTCCATCCATGGGATTCTCCAGGCAAAAGTACTGGAGTGGGTTTGCCATTTCCTTCTCCAGGGGAATCTTCCCGACTCAGGGATCGAACCCGGGTCTCCGGCATTGTAGGCAGACACTCTACCATCTGAGCCACCAGGTCAGTCCAAATTAGATGAACAGGATTTTAAAAAGAGGACCGATTTGAGGGCCACAGTGCGAGAGTCTTGAAATGAAGAGGACAGAGCGGAAGAGCCTGCGATGGGTGACCTGCATTTTGTCTTAAACACCCCCAGATGAAGTGGACAAACCAAAACTGCACGTAAAAAACTCCAGAGGTCAGGTCGCCTACTGTCCATTGTCTTACAGGAAATGTCAGCGCCGGGCAAGAAGTGACCGTTTATCTCAGACTCAGAATGTCATGCATCCCAAGGCAGAGGTAGTGATCATTAACACAAGGCTATGGTGCTCAGTCCCTGGGTGGGGAAGATCCCCTGGAGGAGGGCATGGCAACCTGCTCCAGTATTCTCGCCTGGAGAATCCCCGTGGACAGAGGAGCCTGGCGGGGCGACAGTCCCTGGGGTCGCAGAGACTTCGACAGGACTGAAGCCAAATGGCACGCAGGCAGAGAAAAGGCACCACGCTCACATTATAAGTGATGAACTGCAAGATTAAGGTGGTCCCTTTCCACTCATGCCCTGAAGCTGGTTCCAGAAAACAGGGCAGAGAGCCTCCTGGTTGTTGGCAAAGGAGCTCCTGGGGAACCCGGGGCCCCCAACCTAGGCCTGCCCCACCTAGAGGCTCTTACCTTCAGACAGCAGGCTCAAGGCCTCGTCAGAAGTGTGCACACCGCCTGGCAGCTCGTTCTTGGGAGTGGGGCCTTCCCCGGGTTTGCGGGGACCCCCGGGGGACGGGGGAGCCCCCTCGGCGGCCGAGGTGGTCATCGAGTCCCATGGGATCTCCTTGCTGGGACCGGGAAGCGTCAGGCGGCAGCCCGTCCAGCCGTAGAAGGCCAGGGACAAGAGGAAACCTTGGGCTGGATTCAGGATCCCCTGGGAGGGAGGAGAAAGAGACAGCGTATAAGTCAGGGCGCCGACGGGCATCAGGGCTCACGGGGGTCACTCTGGTGCACGGGGCTGGCCTCAACTGGGATGCGCCCCTTTGGCTGGTTTGGGGCAAGAGAGAGACTGGCTTGGAGGTGCTGGGCCTTCAGAGCGGGACACAGGAAACCAGGGGGGTGGAGAGGAAGGTCCCGGGCACCACCCCAACGATGTGGGTTGTCTAGAACGCTTTATATTTATGGACAGTGCTCCAAGGGATACCTGCAACTCTGTGGCTTTTTCAGTCCGCAAGATTTCTTCCAGAGAAATTACCAGATATTCTTAGTCTGCCTCAAAGGTTTGAGACACTTGCCAAACTGACTTACCAGAGTCATATCCGTCTGATGATGCCAACGCTGAATACACAAGTATTTAATTGAGGGTACAGCACGCCTCTCACTTGTTTATTCGCTAAGTCGTGTCTGACACTTTGCAAGCCCACCAGGCTCCTCTGCCCATGGGATTCTCCAGGCAAGAACACTGGAGTGGGTTGCCATGCCCTTCTCCAGAGGAACTTCCTGACCCAGGAATCGAACTGGGGTCTCCTTCATTGGCAGGTGGATTCTCTACTGCTGAGCCTGCAAGGAAACCCAGCACCTCTCCACTAACAGCTCCTGTATGGAGTTTTTGTAGTGGAGACACAATATACTGGAAAAATCGAGGACAATGTATCTGTAGTCTTTCCACTGTATTATGGTGTTGTGTTTCTAGGCAATATTGTTGCCTACATATGTGATTTGGGAGTTGAAATGAGTATAATCTCTACGTCCTACATTTTTCACTTATTACGAGATTTCATAATTGTCATACTTTACATTGTCATTTTCAACATCTGCATACCATTCCATCAAGATCAAAGACAGTGATTTACTTAACCATTCCCTTAAAAAAAAAAAAAAAAGATGTGGGTTGTCTAGAATGCTTTTATTTATGGATAGTGTTCCAAGGAATACCTCCAACTCTGTGGCTTTTTCAGTCTGAAACATTTCTTCCAGAGAAATTCTCAGATAGTCTTAGTCTGCCTGAAAGGTTTGAGACACTTGCCAAGCTGACTTACCAGACTCATATCCGTCTGATAATGATGCCAACATTGAATGCACAAGGTAGCTCATGGACCACAGCCAGACATGGGGGTCCCTGCAACCTCTTCAACTCACTGCATATTTAAATAACACATAGATCATACTTCTCAGTGGTTTTAATCCTGTCTGGGTTTTTTTTTTTTCTTTAGGAAGTACATTTTAAATCACGATTGACCTACCATCATGAACCATGTGGTCTTGGCTGCATTTCTGATCTGTTTCAAGGAGCTACCGTTGATATCTGGTTGCATTTCAAGATAGAGCAAAAGGCATTCATTGATGACATTTGAGAACCAGCTGTGAGAAAGAAAATGGGCCACAGGTAAAGAGAACATGCGATATCATTTGCTTTCTAAAAATTTTTGCGTATTTTTTAGTGGGAGGATAATTGCATCACAATATCATTTGTTTTCAACGCCAGAGGTCAGGGCACATGTCTGCATGCATGAGTGCTGAGTATCTCCGTCACGTCCATCTCTTTGCAACCCCCATGGACTGTAGCCCGCCAGGCTCCTCTCTCCATGGGATTTCCCAGGCAAGAATACTGGAGAGGGTTGCCATTTCCTTCTCCAGGGGAACTTCCCAGCTCAGGGATCGAACCCACATCTCTGGCATTGCAGGCAGATTTTTTTTTTTATCCACTGAACCACCTGAGAAGCTCCAGGTAACATGTCTCCCAAGACCTAGAAGTCCAGGACGGGTGACCAAGTAGCTGCGGGAGGAACCAGCACCCCAAGAATTAGACCTCAGAGATGGCACCCCACTCAGCCAAAAGCAGCGACCAAGAGACCCTTCCGAACGTCACAATCAACATCACACTGGGTGGAAGGTTCTAGCACACGTCAAATAGCCCAGAAGTCATTCCTCCTTTGACGAGCAAGCTGCCATCTTGATGGAGACCAACACAAACCTTGATGTTTTATGTCGGAAATTTCTGACGTTAGTGTCGGCAGGTCGGTGAAGTTGGAAATGGCGGGCTCGGGCTATTTTCAGATGGAGGTAACTCACGGCTCTCCCAGGAGAATGTCCAAACCAGCCTCCTCCCATCAGATAAATTATTAACCACCACCGTGTGTCCTGTCTTGCAAATCACTCTGTCGCTGCAGCAAAGGTTTGGTACTTTGCTTTGGTACTTTGGTACTTTCTGATTTGGTACTTGTCACAGGTCTATGTGCACAGAACACACCCACCTGAAATGCTGGGGCAGGCTGCCAGTGGGTGGCAGGCCGCTGAGGGGATGAAGATTGCTCTCTACACTTCTTTTTTATTATTATTATTATTAGTTGTTTTTCTGGCTGTGCCCCACAGCTTTTGGGATCTTAGTTTCCCGAACCAGGGATGGAACTCTTGCCCCCTGCAGTGGGAGCTGAGAGGCCTAACCACTGGGCCGCCCGGGGAGTCCTGGTCTCCGTCCTTGCTGCCCTGAGCTGCGAGTCATCACACACACAAGGGCCATCGCCCCTGTGTCTCAGCAGACACAGGGACCCTGTTGTCAAGACAAATGCAGGGACTTCCCTGGCTGTCCAGTGGTCAGGACTTGGTACTTCAGTGCAAGGGATGAGGGTTCAATCCCTGGCCGGGGAAGTAAGATCCCACATGCCTCACATTGCAGCAAAAAAAAAAAAAAAAATTTAATTAAAAAATAATACAAAGATGGATGCAAAAATAAAAGATGGGTTTAGAAGGCATGATGAAGCATTTGATTTGAACACTAACCCCGGCGATGGGACAATACTCGGGAGGCAAGTGGTTGGGATGTGTCCACGTTAAAGTGAGGATTTTCTGTTCTTAGGGATTCTCTATAATTGGAGCGGACGTGAATATCTTTCTAGAAGGTCATGACTGTAGACCGGCCTTCCTGTCTGGACAGCATTGCCTCCAGGGCCATCTGGACAAGCCTCAAAAGGTTTCCTCTCCCAAGACTCTGCGTCTGGAACTCAGGTCACACTTGGGAAGGCACCTGACAAGCGGTTTGCATTTCGCTTCACAGGGACAGTTTAAAGAAAAAGAAGCACGTTACCAGACGATGAAAACCAGCATTATTTTGAAGAATCGGGTCTTGATCACGGCTCCCAGGCGTCTCTCGTTCTCCGTGTAAATGCCTTGTCTTCCCTTCAGTAAGGAGGCCACTGTGGAGAGCAGCGGGGAACGGTGTGTGATGTTCAGGATTTACAAAGGGCAGCAAAGTGGATGGGAGCCCGCAAGTCACCTGGAGAGCTGGAAGCAAGATGCTAACCATGCTTCTCTCACCACTGCATGGGGTGGGGGTGGGGGGGTGCTTCTCAGACACTCGGGGGGAATACATAGCTTTTAAAGGTTTACTTTGAAGTCTTTGTGGCTTCCCTGATAGCTCAGCTGGAAAAGAATTCGCCTGCAATGCAGGAGCTCCCCCCTTAGATTCCTGGGTCAGGAAGATCCCCTGGAGAAGGGAGAGGCTACCCACTCCAGGATTCTGGGGCTTCCCTTGTGGCTCAGCTGGTCAACAATCTCCCTGTAATGTGGAGACCTGGGTTTGATCCCTGGGGTTGGGAAGATCCCCTGGAGAAGGGAAAGGCTGGCTACCTACTCCAGTATTCTGGCCTGGAGAATTCCATGGACTTTATAGCCCACGGGGGTCACAGAGAGTCTTTCGAATGACTTTCACTTTCACTTTTGAAATCTTTTAGATTTATATAAGATACACAGAGATAGTAGAGTCCCCATATAGCTACAACCAGCTGCCCCCAATATTAACGTCTTCCACAACCATACTCACGTTGGTCAGCATGAAGAAAACAGCACTGGTACAGTGCTGTTAACTAGACCCCCAATTTTATCTGGATTTTATTAGTTCAGGAACTGTATTTTTGTTTATACTTTTTATTTTTATAATAAAAATTATTTTTATAAATATAAAATATAAATATAAAAATTATTTTTATTATAAAAATATAAAAAACTATTTTTATAATAAAAATAATTTACTAGGGGATTTCTCTGGTGGTTCAGTGGTTATAAGACTCCATGCGTCAAACACAGGGGACAAAGGTTCGATCTCTGGTCAGGGAACTAAGACGCCCCATGCGGAAAGGTGCAGCCAAAAAAATTTTAAAAAATAATAATTTATCCTTGATTTCTTTCTTTCTTTGGCCAAGACTCTCTGCATGTGGGATCTCAGTTCCCCAACCAGGGATTAAACCCAGGCCCCCCTGCAGTGAAAGCTCCTAGTCCTAACACCCCTGGACCACCAGGGGAGTCCCATACTTGCTATTTTAAAATGTTGAAAGATTTAGCATCCCTCCTTTAGACAAGTTGGAAAATATAAAAAGAAGTTTAGAAAAAAGTTAATAACCCATGGTCAACCCAGAGACAACTACTGTTAGCATCTTACTGTATTTCTTTCCAGTGTTTTTTCTACATGCTGTTTTCACTTATTTGATGTAAATGAATCATTATTTTTTAATCACTATGTTTTAATGCAATGTTTTTAAAAAAGCTGTATGTGGCTCAGATGGTAAAAGCGTCTGCCTAAAATGAGGGAGACCTGGGTTCAATCCCTGGGTCGGGAAGATCCCCTGGAGAAGGAAATGGCAACCCACTCTAGTACTCTTGCCTGGAAAATTCCATGGATGGATAAGCCTGGTAGGCTACAACCCATGGGATCACAAAGAGTCGGGCACGACTGAGCAACTTCACTTTCTTTCCTTCTAATTCGCTATGGGGGCTGTGTGTTTTTAAATTTTTATCGCAGTAGAGTTGATTTCCAACGTTGTGTTAGTTACAAGTGTACACACACTGGTTTTCAGTGCAGATACAAAGAGGGAGACCCAAAGAGCCTTGGTGATGTTGTCTCCCTAAGTAGCAGAGCATGTCGCTTAAAGTTCTGCAATCCACAGTCGATCCTCCGGTGACCTTTCTGCAGAGGTGTGTTTCTTTATTCCAATTCTGCCCATGAGGGACCCACAGGGCACACATTCTGGTGCCTCTGACTCACATCCTGTGCGCCCCTTCCTGTTTCCTGCCCAGCTGGGAGAAGACATGGGCCCAGACAACACGGGGAGCCAGCTCCCCCAACCCACGGGGGACATCTCCGCCCCTGGTCCACAGCTGACCTTTCCTTTCCTCTCCTGTTTCCATCTCCCCCTCTGCCGGTTTTCAAGGACACTGGGTCTTTGGGGGCACGCCAAGGACAGACCCAGGATGAGTCCAGGTAGAAGGGAAAAAGTCCACGGGTCCCCAGGCTGTGCGCTAACGGATGCTGGCCAAGACTTCATCTAGCCTGTGACTGAGTGGGCTCGCTCCCTGTCACTGATGTAAACCCACTCACTCTCCCCAGCTTCATTCTGCTCATCTCTGCAGGATGACAGATGAGGTCAGGGGTCCTAGATAATGCCTGGGGCCCAAGACCTGGGGTTCATCCCGTGGCCTCCTCCCCGGGGCAGCTTCCCTGCCCTTTACCTGCAGTCACCGTCTTTCGGAATAGGATGGGGTTGCCCACGAGGACCAGTAGCAGCGGCAAGTACGTGGTGATGTAGTGGGGGATGGTGTGCTCCAGGCCCCTCTCGCACCTGGGGGCGGGGGGGAGAAAAACCCATGCAACAATGAGGCTTTGCCTGAAATAACCCACTGCCTTATCTGAAAGCGGAGATAAGAGGACCCAGAGCACAAAGGGAAATGCACAGATCACTTCTGGCTGCCGGAAGGAAAGCTGACTCACATCTCATCATGTCTGTGGACAAGCAAGTAAATCACAGAAGGAGAAGGAGGATCAATCACACTTCTGTCTGTCTCAGAAAGCAGGCTGCTGTTTCAAGTTCCCTGCCGGAAAAAAGTAAAGACAGGAAAAGACTCCGGGATGGTGGACCCCCACCCCCACCACAACCCCGCTGTGGGGCCCCTTCAAAGAAAACACACACTGTTCAAGCAAGACAAAGGCACTCAGTAAACTGGTAAGGTGTTCAGCAATTTACTACATGCAAGGCCTGGTTGACATCACCAATAAGATCTAAGCTCTGCCCTCGAACAACTGAAAACACCCGAGCTGCCTATTTCTCAGGACACTAGTTCTCAAGGTGACCCATAATCATTTTGGTGGTTCTTTCCAGAAGGAAAGACAGGAATGTCTACTGATGGGTTGGGAGACTCATTCGTCAGCAACAGGGCATGGTGGTGTGCTACACACAGGTATGTCACCAAAGCCGGGAGTGTCACTGAACAAATGCATAATTAGAGAAAGTGGCAAAGGGAGAGAGGGCATCCAAAGGAGAAGTTGCTCAGGTCAGACCCCAGATGAGGTGGAAAACCAGAGGAGGGTGCAGCCCTGGTGGCCAGGGAAGGCGGGGATGATAAAGATGCCGGTGCTTTCATCAGTATGAAGTGCTCACACCAAAGATGAAAGTGGCAGGAAAATGCATGAAAACAGGCATGAAAAATGCAGTGCCCATCTTTTCTTGCCCTAAGGATGGCAATACCATGTGAAGATGGTGAGTTCTTTTTTAAAAGAAGCTTTCTTCAGCTGTGAAAGCTAAACCATGGTGTACAAGGGCTTGAGGGGAGAAGTGGAAACACGAGGAGCAAAAGATGAAATTTGAATGATGAGCATGAGGGACAAATAAGTGAGGTTGGGAGCCTGCACAGTCCCCAGGGGCTGTGGGGCTCAGGCTCTGAGGATGTAAATGATGGGAGGGTGGAGATGATGGAGGCTGGAGATGATGGGATGATGGAGGGAGAAGGTGATGGAAGGAGAAGATGATGGAGGGAGGACAGGATGGAGAGTAGATATGATGGAGAGTGGACATAATGGAGGATGGAGATGATGGTGGGTGGTGATGATGGAGTATGAGATGATGGAGGGTGGCCATGATGGGATGGTGGAAGGTGGAGTTGGTGGAGGAATGGAAATGATGGAGGGAAGAGATGAGGGAGGATGGAACTGATACCAGGTGGAGCTGAGGGAATGAGATGATAGAGGATGATATGGTAGAGGAGGAAATGATGGGATGATGGGGGGTGGACATGATGCAGGATGGAGGTGATGGAGGAGATTATGGGATGATGGAGAGTGGATATGGTGAAAAGTGAAGATTATGGAGGATGAGATGATGAAGGTTAGAGAAGATGAGATAATGGAAGTTGGAAATGATGGATATGGGAGGTGGTAGAGGTTGGAGGTGATGTAGTGCAGAGAGGATGGGATGATGGAGGAGGAGAGGGTGGAGGATGGACATGATGGGGTGATGGAGGCTGGAGATGATGTGATGAGGGAGGGTGGACATGATGGAGGGTGAGAGATGATGGCTGGAGATGATGGTGGCTAGAGATGATGGAGGATGAAAATGGTGAAGGATGGAGATGATGAAGGATGAGATGATGGCAGGTGGAGATGATGGAAGATGAGATGATGGGATGATGGAGGGTAGAGATGATGAAGGTTGGAGATGATGGAGGGTGGACATGATGAAAGATGAGATGATGGTGGCCAAAGATTTTGGTGGCTGGAGATGATGGGGATGGTTATGATCAAAGATGGAGATGATGGAGGATGGAGATGATGGAAGATGTGATGATGGAGGGTGGAGATGATGGGATGATGGAATCTGGACATGATGGAGAGTGGAGATGATGTAGGATGAGATGATGAAGGTTAGAGAAGATGGGATGATAGAAGTAGAGATGACTGATGGAGGGTGGAAATGACAGAGGGCATTTTGAAAAGACCCTGATGCTGGGAAAGACTGAGGGCAGGAAGAGAAGGGGATGACAGAGGATGAGATGGTTGGATGGCATCACCGACTCGATGGACATGGGTTTGGGTGGACTCCGGGAGTTGGTGATGGACAGGGAGGCCTGGCGTGCTGTGGTTCATGGGGTCACAAAGAGTTGACACGACTGAGCAATGGAACTGAACTAAAAGATGATGGAAGGTTGTGATGATGGAAGATGAGATGATGGAGGCAGGAGATGATGGGATAATGGAAATGATGAGATAAAGGAGGTCAGAGATAATGGAGGGTGGACATGATAGATGGTAGAGATGATTATGGATGAGATGATGGAGGTTAGAGAAGATGGGATGATGGAAGTTGGAGATCATGAAGGGTGGGGGTGATGGAGGGCAGAGATGATAGAAGCTGGAGATGATGGAGACTGAAGATGATGGGATGATAGAGATGATGGGATGATGGAGGGTGGAATTGTTGGAGGGTAGAGAAGAAGGAGGATGGAGATAATTGAGGGTGGAAATGTTGGAGGGTGGGGATGAGGCAGGGGGAAGATGTTGGAGGATGAGATGATGGAGGTAGACATGATGGGATGATGGAGGGTGGAGATGATGGGACAGTGGAGGGCAGACTGGGGGGTGGAGATGGTGGAGAGTTGACATGATAGAGGGTGGACATGCCGACAGATGAAATGATGGTGGCTGGAGATGATGGAGGATGGAGATAATGGAGGATGGTTCTGTTGGAGGATGGAGATGATAGAGGAAGGAGATGATGGAGGATGGGGTGATGGGATGATGGATGGTGGAGATGATGGAAGGTGGAGATGATGGAGAGTAGAGATGATGGAAGATGAGATGATGAGATGATAAAGGATGAGATGATGGAGGTTAGAGAAGCTGGGATGATGGAAGTTGCAGATGATGGAGGTTGGAGGTGATGTATGTTGGAGATGTTGGAGGGTGGGGTTGATTGAGGATGGAGATGTTGGAGGGTGGAGATGATTGAGGGTGGAGATGTTGGAGGATAGGGATGATTGAGGGTAGAGATGTTGGAGGGTGGGGATGATATAGGGTGCAGATGTTGGAGGATGAGATGATGGCCTATGAGATGATGAAAGATGGGCATGATGGGATGATGGTGGGTGGAGATGATGGAGGTTGGAGGTGATGCATGTTGGAGATGATAGAAGGTGGGGAGGACTGAGGGTGGAGATGTTGGAGGATGAGATGATGGAGAATTAAGATGCTTCAGGGGGAGGCCTTGTGTTAATCTCAGGAGCACCTGGACTCAAAGGAAATAGCCCCAGAATCCCACGGGTGGAGGTGAGGGATAAAAATTCTTTCCGATTAAGTGCATCCCTCTGTGACAGCTCCTTACTCTGTCTTTGTCCTTTTAAGGTTCCTGGGGAGAGCAGGTTATTTTGAGGGGTCTACACAGAGGCCTGGAAGTAGTCACAGTTGACAAGACAATAGGACTGTGGAGACATTTGACTGAGCAGCTACAAGAAATTAAGAAAGATGGGAAGAAAAAGTCTACACCACAGGTCAGCAAACTTTTTCTCTAAACAGATAGGAAATATTTTAGGCTTCAGAACCCTCACAGCCTCTGTCAAATCCACTCAACTCTAATGGAAACAGCCATAGACAATACATACACAAATGGGTACGGCTGTGTGCCAATAAAACTTTATTTACTAAAGCAGGAGAAGGGCCGGATCTGTACTAAGGGCCATGCTGTACTGATCCTTGGGTCTGTGCTGTGCTGGGCTTAAGTCACTCAGTCATGTCCAACTCTCTGCAGTCCCATGGACTGTAGCCTGCCAGGCTCCTCTGTCCATGGGATTCTCCAGGCAAGAATACTGAGGTGGGTTGCCATGCCCTCCTCCAGGGGATCTTCCCAACCCAGGATCAAATCCAGGTCTCCTGCACTGCAGGTGGATTCTTTACTGTCTGAACCACCAGGGACATCCAAGAATACTGGAGTGGGTAGCCTATCCCTTCTCTGGGGGAACTTCCCAACCCAGGAATTGAGCTGGAGTCTCCTGCATTGCAGGCAGACTCTTTACCAGCTGAGCTAGCCAGGAAGCCCCTCCCTGGGTCTACACCACCTTAAAATCACCAAGAGACCATGTCCAACCTCTGATTTTCAGTTTTCCATTAAATCATAGAGTGTATCTCCTAAGAGGGGCCTTGAGGTTTTATAAATGGTAAAGGGCAGGGATTCAGACTCAAAGAAATGTCTGAGACAGTTTCAGAGGCCACATTTCCCAGCGTGTGTTCAGAAGAGCACAGGATGGAGACATGTAAAAAAAAGTGCAGACAGCAGAGGCTGAAAATGAGCTATTCTAAAAGCAACCCTTTGAGTCTCCCAGACATCTGCAATGCATCCTTGGGATGTTCAACTCACCTGCATGCCCAGAGGAAGCTGGTTTGAAGGATTAAAAAAAAAAAAAAAAGAGCAGGTAGGGGAAAGCCATGCCCATCACAGGCGTATAGGGAGAAGAGATGCACCCCCAGCTCTGATTGTGCCTCTGAGGTTGTTTTTTTTTGTTTGTTTGTTTAAACACGACCCTCAGTACAGATCCGGCCCTTCGCCTGCTTTTGTCAATAAAGTTTTATTGGCACACAGCCATGCCCACTTGTGTATGTATTGTCTATGGCTGCTTTACCCATTAGCGCTGAGTAGTGAAAGTCATGTAATGTCGAACTCACCATTGTAAAGTGGACGACTCGGGGGCATTTAGGACATCCGCGGTGCCGTGCAAGCCCCACCTCAAGCTGTGTATCCACACTGGGCACAGGACCAAACCAGCACACACGTGACCGGCAGGAGCGGGGGACCCTGACCGACTCAAGGAGCCAGGCATGTGCTCGCGGCTGCACGGACCCTGGACAGTGGCCCGCCCACCCACGCGGGGTCAGCACCCAGGCATGTCCTGCAGGAGGATGCCCCAAGGGGGTCGGGCGTCGGGGGAGCCCCGGCTTACCTGGTCAAGGAAGGATAGTATAGCATGAGGGCTCCCTCCATGCTCAGCAGGGCGGCCAGGCCCCAGGCCATCAGGTGGTACAGCAGGATGGTGCTGGGGGAGGGAGAATACAGGTGCGGAACCTCAGGTCCAGCACCTGCCCAGCCCCGCACTCCTCCAGCAGAGGGAAAACATGCAGAGCAGACTCTCAGCAAACAGCCCCCTGATTGTGCCTCAGAGGGTGGTTTTGTTTGTTTGTTTAAACATGGCCCTCAGTACAGATCCGGCCCTCTGCCTGCTTTTGTCAATAAAGTTTTATTGGCACACAGCCGTGCCCACTTGTGTATGTATTGTCTATGGCTGCTTCACCCATTAGCGCTGAGTAGTGAGTCACATGACATCAAACTCACCATTCTAAAGTGAACAACTCAGCGGCATTTAGGACATCCACAGTGCCATGCAAGCCCCGCCTCAAGCCAGTTCTGAAACATGTTCATCCCCCTAAAGGGACACCCAGACCCATTCGGGGGTCTCTCCCCATCACGTCTGCACCTCCAGCCCCAGGCAACCACTCACCCACCGTCTGTCTCTATGGATTCGCCTATTCTGGACATTTCATCCAAGTGGAAGCATAAACAACGTGGCCTTCTGAGTCTCATCTGTTTCCCTTAACCTAAGGCATTCACGGTCCCTCTAGTCAAAGCTATGGTCTTTCCAGTAGTCATGTGTGGATGTGAGAGTTGGACCATAAAGAAAGCTGAGCACCAAAGAATTGATTCTTTCAAACTGTGGTGTTGGAGAAGACTCTTGAGTCCCTTGGACTGCAAGGAGATCCAACAAGTCCATCCTAATGGAAATCAGTCCTGAATATTCATTGGAAGAACTGATGCTGAAACTTTGGCCACCTGATGCGAAGAACTGACTCATTGGAAAAGACCCTGATGCTGAGAAAGATTGAAGGTGGGAGGAGAAGGGGATGACAGAGGATGAGATGGTTGGATGGCATCACTGACTCAATGAACATGAGTCTGAGTACAACTCTGGGAGTTGGTGTTGGACAAGGAGGCCTGGCATGCTGCAGTCCACAGGGTCGGAAAGAGTTGGACACGTCTGAGCAACTGAAGTGAAGGCTTTCAAGACTGACAGGAGGGACAGACGTTTGAGGTGCACAGCAAGAATACCTTACTGTTTTGATTGTGCCTTCCGCCTTTTATATAAAAACAAGCTGGCATTAGATGTTTCTTGGTGGAGTGCCCGCTGGGAGTTTCTGATGGACTGCGTCTCAGTTCAGTTCAGTCACTCAGTCATGTCCAACTCTGCAATCCCGTGGACTGCAGCACGCCAGGCCTCCCTGTCCATCACCAACTCCCGGAGTCCACCCAAACCCATGTCCATTGAGTCAGTGATGCCATCCAACCATCTCCTCTTCTGTCAGCCCCTTCTCCTCCTGCCCTCAATCTTTCCCAGCATCAGGGTCTTTTCCACTGAGTCAGCTCTTCGCATCAGGTGGCCAAAGGACTGGAGTTTCACCTTCAACATCAGTCCTTCCAATGAACACCCAGGACTGATGTCCTTGAGGATGGACTGGTTGGGTGTCCTTGCAGTCCGGGGGACTCTCAAGAGTCTTCTCCAACACCACAGTTCAAAAACATCAATTCTTTGGGGCTCAGCTTTCTTTATAGTCCAACTCTCACATCCATAGATGACTCCTGGAAAAACCATAGCCTTGACTAGACAGACCTTTGTTGGCAAAGTAACGTCTCTGCTTTTTAATATGCTGTCTAGGTTGGTCATAACTTTTCTCCCTAGAATTAAGCATCTTTTAATTTCATGGCTGCAGTCACCATCGGCGGTGATTTTGGAGCCCCCCCGCCCCAAATAAAGTCTGCCACTGTTTCCACTGTTTCTCCATCCATTTGCCAGGAAGTGATGGGGCTGGATGCCATGATCTCAGTTTTCTGAATGTTGAGCTTTAAGCCAACTTTTTTGCTCTCCTCTTTCACTTTCCATGTCTACCCTACAGAAATAAGAGTGCTCGGGGCCTCTCCAACGTTCCCTTCGGTCAACGAGCTAGGGCAGAAGAACCCGGCTGCTCACTCTGAATACCTCTGTCCCGCCGACCTCCGGATCACCAGGTAGGCGTCCACCGCATAGCAGAACAACCACCAGAAGCAAGCGCTGTACAGTAGCTGGATCCAGAGCTGTAATCACAAGCGGGGCATCCCAGCCCCTGGGTGCGGGCTGCAGGTGGCCCCGCCCCATCCCTGACATCATCGGGGGTCCCAGGAAAGCCCTCTGCATACACGTGGCAACCTTTGGAAGCCCAGACTGGGATGTGGCCTGGGGATCGGTGGGTGCCTTAGTTCCGCCGTCTGCTCAGCTGAACTGGTCCAGCGAGCCCCTCCTGGTGCTCACATGTGTAGGCAGAGAGATGAAGGGCTCAGAGATGAAAGGCCTGGCCTGGCACTTTGAACCAGAAGCCCTTCTGCTGAGGATGAAAGAGGATGCGCAGGAAGGACCTTCCCAGGAGAAGCAAGGCAGGGACGTGCTGTAATGCTAAGTCCCTTCAACGGTGGCCAACTCTTTGCGACCCCGTGGACTGTAGCCCGCCAGGCTCCTCTGTCCATGGGTTTCCTCCAGGCAAAAAATACTGGAGTGGGTCACCATTCCCTCCTCCAGGGGATCTTCCCGACCCAGGAACTGAACCCACGTCTCTTATGTCTCCTGCACTGGCAGGCGAGTTCTTTTACTACTAGCATCACCTGGGAAGCCCATGAATAGATGTACTTAAATACAGTTTTGGTAAGTACATACCTGCAATAAATCAATAACTTTCTTTTTTCTTTTCCTTCTTTTTTTTTTTTTTTTTTTACTAACCAGTTTGTTTTGACTGTGGCTAAATCTCAGGTAAGGATTAAATGTGTGTTTAAGGATGGGGGAAGGAAAATATTAGCACAGTGGTTCTCAAACTGGAGTGAGGCTCAGAGGCCACTGGTGGTTGTGTAGTCTCTGAGTCGTGTCTGACTCTTTGTGACCCCATGGACTGTAGCCCACCACGCTCCTCTGTCCATGGGATTCTGCAGGCAAGAATACTGGAGTAGGTTGCCGTTTCCTCTTCCAGGCGATCTTCCTGTCCCAGGGATCAAACCCGCATCTCCTGCATTAGCAGGCAAGTTCTTCACCTGTGAGCCACCTGGGACGCTCCAGAGACCCCTGGAGGGTTTGTTAAATCACAAACAGTCCCCCCCACACAGGGTTTCTGGTCAGTGGGGTAAGGGTGGGGTCTCTGAGCTTTTCTAAAAACTGCACTGGGTTGGTGGAAAGGTCAGGACCACACTTTAAGGACTCAGTGTAACAGAGGGGGGTGAAGGGGTGGGCAGGGGGACCAGGGGAACCACACTTACTGCACTCCCGATGCAGAAGACGGCTGGCCACACGTCTGTCCTGTTCACGGCGGAGATGTCGTCCACGAAACTCGGAAACCCTAACCACACCGCAGACCGGACCGCGATACCTAAGGGACAACCAGGCGATAATGCTTTCTTTGTATCTGCTCCTGACTCATACCTAAAGGGGACCTGGTGACTGTAAAAATGATGGATGTACAAATGGACGCATGGACAGATGAGAGGATGGATGGATAGAAGATAGGAAGGGAGAGAGAAAGACATGAGGGAGGCAGAGAGGAAAGATACACATGTTGGTGGGTGCAGGAGAGACAGAGGAAAAAAAAAACAGACTCAGAAGATAAGGATTATGGTTGCGGAGCAACTGCAGGCACTTTGATTTCCACTTTCACTGACATCAGCTACAGTCATGTCCTTATTTTGCTTGTTCGTTTATTTGCCTCTAAGAAGCGACGGTGTGAATAACAGTGTGTGTTTCTTGCCCATATTTTTAGTGTCCAGCTTAACTAGTCCTCATGTTAAAAAAAAAAAAAAGAATGACTGAAAAAAAGCACATTCTTTCTTTTTTAATTTTTTAAAAAAAGATGTATTGATTTATTTTATTGATTGGTCTTTGTTGCCGCTAACAGGACTTTCTCTAGGTGCAGCGAGCAAGGGCTGCTACCCTTGGGCTTCTCGTCTCCGTCTCCGTGGCTTCCTTGTTGCGGAGAACCAGCTCCAGGGTACCTGGGCTCCAGTAGTTTCATCACCTGGGCTCAGCAGTCATGGCTCGTGGGCTCACTAGTTGTGGTGCATGGGCTTAGTCGCTCCACGGCACATGGGATCTTCCCAGACCAGGGATCGGACCCGTCTGCCCTGCATTGCAAGGCGGAGTCTCAACCATCAGACCACCAGGGAAGCCCCCAAAAAGTTTATTCTGAAGTTGTGAAAGAGAGTTCCTCCGTTCTTTTAAAAAAAAAAAAATTTGACATCAGATACCTAATTCGCCTCTAATCAGTATCCACACTCGAGGTGTATATTAGGGTTGTTAGGTTTGCAATAACATCTGTTTGAGTGTACTCTGTATAACACAAAATGCTCAAGGGGAAGTGAACAGTACAGACTTGTATACTACCATAATGTGTATAGTTGGCATACAAAACATATACTTCAAAATAGGCAACCAAATATACACTGTGTCCTACACCACCAAAGGGAATTATGGACGCTAAAATCCTAAAGATGTCGCTTCTCATTCTTAAGCTCAAATAACAGAAATAATGTTTTCTTCCAAATAGTGCTTTGTTGTTTTTCTCTATAGAGCTCTGCTTTGAGCTCAATAAACACCTTATTATTATTGTTTTTTTTTTTTTTTGCATGTATATGAGGTAATGGGTGTTTAGGAAACGTTTTTGGTAAATGTGAGTCTTTGTGCTGGATACATAAATGTTTCCTGGTGCTGTATGTCCATGAGGTCTCAGTAAAGCTGGGGCGGGAGTTCCCTGGTGGTCTAGAGGTTAGGATTCTGTGGTTTCACTGCCATGGCCCAGGCTCAATCCCTGGTGAGGGAATCGGGGTCCCACAAGCTGTGCAATTTGTCTAGGGGAAATGAAAAAAGATTTTAAAAAATACTGGGTAGGGAGGGGGGACCGGGATGGGGAATACATGTAAATCCATGGCTAATTCATTTCAATGTATGACAAAAACCACTGCAATGATGTAAAGTAATTAGCCTCCAACTAATAAAAATAAATGAAAATAAATAAATAAATAAATAAAAAATAATAAATACTGGGTAAAAAAAAAACACCCCATGAGACACGCATCTGTATTTCTTTCTGTCTTTATTTTGGCTGCAGTGGTCTTTGCAGGCTTTCCCTAGTTTCAGAGAGTGGACTTCTCATTGCCGTGGTGTCTCTTGCTGTGGAGTGCAGACTCTAGGTGGGCCGTGGGCTTCAGAAGCTGTGGACCCCAGTCTCTGCAGCGGAGGCTCAGTAATCATGGCTCACGGAGACTCTGGAGTATGCAGGATCCTCCCGGACAAGGGTTCGAACCCGCGTCCCCTGCACTGGCAGGCGGGTCCTTTTCCACTGGACCACCAGGGACGTCTTGGCATCTGTGCTTGTTATTTTCCAGCGAGGAGGTCCAGACACCTCCTGCCTAGACCTGACCCCTGCTTCTGCTGATTTGCCCACAGTGCCATGTACCTTCCTTCGAAAGGCCAAAGGGTGTGCCAATCTTATTTCCTGACCCCCAGAAGATGTTTGGCTGCAACTCTATTTCCAGATATTCAAGTTTCTGAAACTATTAAGATGCTTCCCCCAAATGCTTCAGCAGAATCAGGGAGAACACCGATTTTTTTTAAATTTAATTATCCTGTACCACATTCGCTTGGTCACTAACAGAAAGGGAAGTAGTCCTTCCTGTCTTACTCCAATCTGAAAAAGTGATTAAGAGGTTCGACAGCACGTGTCTGGAGTCAAGATTCTTGAGCATCTCCAAGCATAAAACAGCAAGAAGAGCAGGAGAGCCAGGCCCTGGGACGCATCCACCAGATACCTGGTCAGGGTGGCTAGAAGCTGCTCTTACACCCTCAGGACACCGAGGTGGAAGGCACTCAAATACCATCACGGCCTCTCCTTCAAGAGCAGATGATTCCAACATGGCCAGCACCTGTCAGCGCTTACAGAACACAGACGCTCTTCGGATCCTGATTTGAACTAACTAACCGAAAACTGGCATGTATGACATGCCTGAATATGGAGCAGTGATATGAAGGAATCGGTTTTCCTTATTTTTTAGGCAGTAATGATATCAGTGTGATATATGTATATATATAATTATATATTATAATATGATACTATATTATACTTAATATAACATATTGGGCTTCCCTGATGGCTCAGAGGGTAAAGTGTCAGCCTGTGACGCAGGAGACCCAGGTTCGATCCCTGAGTCGGGAAGATCCCCTGGAGAAGGAAATGGCAACCCACTCCAGTATCATCACCTGCAAAATCTCATGGACAGAGGAGCCTGGTGGGCTACAGTCCATGGGGTCACAAAGAGTCGGACACAACTGAGTGATTTCACTTCACTAATATAACATAGTATATATATTATATATTGTAATATATAATGATATTGTAACATACTATACAGTATATGGCTTCCCTGGTGGCTCAGTAAAGAATCTGCCCGCAATGCGGGAGACCCGGGTTTGATCCCTGGATTGGGAAGTTCCCCCGGAGAAGGGAATGGCAACCCACTGCAGTATTCTTGCCTGGAGAATCCCATGGACAGAGGAGCCTGGTGGGCTACAGTCCATGGGGCCGTAAAGAGTCGGACATGAGTGAGTGACTAACATAGACACACATGTAGTATACAGTATGTTACAATAAACATAAGTTATATAATTATGTATATAATTATATATATATATGTTGAATTCTTCTATAGTTACATGCTGAAATTTGTATGAATGAAATGATATAAATTCTGGGATCTGCTTCAAATTAATTCAGTGGAGAGTGGGTACAGGGGTGAAGTATAGAGGAAGCTAGGTGATGAGAACAGGGGGTTCATTATACAGTCTCTCTACTTTTGCATATATGTAATAAAGTCCAAAATAAAAAGTTTAAAAGGTCAGCAGTATTGAGCTTAGAGTTTGTAGAACATGCCATTCTAGGGTTGAAAGCAGGGGTCAGCAAAGTTTCTGCAACGGATCAGAGAGAAAACATTTTAGGCTCTATGGCCCACACTTTCTCTATGCAACACTCACTTCTGCCCTCGTGGGGGATCGGGGTGGGCAGAAGGTGTGGCCTCAACAGTGCACAAGTGCAGGGCATGGCTGTATCCCCATCAGATTCCACGTATGGATGCTGACATTCACATTTCACGGGATGCTTACATGTCAGAAATACTGTTGTTCTGTAGATTTTCTTAAAAGTATTTATTTACTTGACTGGGCCAGGTCTTAGTTGCGGCAATGTGAGATCTTGTTCCCTGACCAAGGATCGAACCCGGGCCTCCCACCTTGCAGGCAGACATTTTACCATCTGAGCTACCAGGGAAGCCTCTGTAGATTTTTAAAACACACTTTAAAATGTAAAAACGTTCTTCACTCATGGCCGGTACATAGAAAAGCAGGCTGGATTTAGCCTAGAGACTACAAGTCTCTATCACACCTGTGATAGAAAACCAAAACTCAGATAGATACATAGATAAAAAAGGAAATAAAAATTTTATCGTATATATGGAGTTTTCTTCCTGATCCTGATAAATTGGTTTGGAAACAACTGCATGTGTGTGCACTCAGGCCTGATAATACTATTAGTCTCTCACTGGTGGAACGATCATGGAACCGTTGTATTTTCTGGGTTCTCCTTCACAGCACTGCCTAAAGTTTCCCTAATAAGAGCAGTAACAAATATATCAAAGTGTTAAATAAAAGAAAAAGAAAAAAAGAAGTCCCCGGAAGCAACTTTTACCCATCTTGTATTGCAGATTCTACTCCTCCTCCCATTGTGTCCCTGGGAAGCCGTCTCTGGATCAGTCCTCCCAGCCGTGGGCCAGGTGCTCTCAACCACACACATCCGGTACCCACTCCCGGGGGGGGGTCCCCATTTGCACACGGAGGGGTCCCCACTCGCGGCCACTTGCCCTAAAACATGTAACACCCGCCGGCTGGGCACCCCCGCCCGTACCCAGGGCTCCCCACTCGCAGGCCACACGCCTTCAACCACGCACAGATGGGTCCCTACCCATGGGCAGGGTGCCCTCATCCTTTCACGGAGGGGACCCCACCCGCCTGCCGGGCTCCCTCAACCACTTACAGACGGGTCCCCCACTTGCGGGCCTGGCGTCCTCACCCGCATATGGAGGGGTCTCCAGTCCTGGAGACCAGGCGCGCTCAACCGCGCATGGAGTGGTCCCCATCCGCGGTACGCACACCCTGAACCATGCTCACCATTCCCGGGATGGGTGTCCTTCCCTGCACATGAAGGGTTCCCCTGTCGAGGGCCATGTTCCCTCAACTCACAAGAAGGGGGTCCCCACTCACGGGCCCCGCGCCCTCAGCTGGGCATGGAGGGGTTCCCACCCGCGGGCCGTGTGCCCTCAACCGCGTAAGAAGAGGTCCCCATGCGCTGGCCGCGCACCTTCAACGGCACACAGAGGGGTGCTGACCCAAGATGCGCGTGCCCTGAGAAACGCAGACAGCTCCCTGCTCGTGGGCCAGGCGTCCTCAACCGCGCACGCAGTGGTCCCCACCACGGGCCGTGCGCCCTTAACCGCGGACAGAGGCGTCTGCACTCATGGGCAGCGCACCCTTAAGCACACACGGAGGTATCCCCACTCAAGGGCCATCGGCCTCAGCTGGGCATGGAGGGGTCCCGACAGGCACTATGTGCGCCCTGGAAAACCCACAGACAGGTCCCAACTCGCAGCCCGACATCTTTGCCTGCACATGGAACGCTCCCCACCCACGGGCCGTGTGCCTTCAACCGTGCATGCAGTGGTCCCCACCACAAGGCCTTGCGCCCCCAAACTCTCACGCAGTGGTTCCCACCCACGGGCCGTGCGCCCTCGAACACACACAGAGGGATTCCAACTCGCGGGCCGCACACCTTCAACCGCGCACGGATGGGTCCTTAAGGCTGTACACGCGCCCTCAACTGCACACCAAGGGTTCCCCACCTGTGGGCTCTGCGCCCTCAACCGCGCACGGAGTTGTCCTCACCACAAGGCTGTGCGCCCTCAACTCCCATGAAGGGCGTCCCCACTCGTGGGCCACGAGCTCTCAACTGGGCACAGAGAGGTCCCCACTCGCAGACCCATGGGCCGTGTGTCTTCATCCGCGCACACAGTGGTCGCCACCACAAAGATGTGTGCCCTCAACAGCTCACGCAGTAGTCCCCACCTGCGGGCCGTGCACCCTCAACCGCACACGGAGGGGACTCCACTCTCCGGCCATTGGCCCTCAACTGGGCACGGAGGGGTCCCGACCCATGGTACTTGACTCCTGGAGAACGCGCAGATGGGTCCCTACTCGTGGGCCTGGTATCCTCACCCACACACAGAGGGGATCCAACCAGCAGGCAGTCCGCCCTCAACCGCGCACGGAGGGCGTCCCCACTCGCGGGCCGCGCTCTCAACAGAGAGGTCCCCACTTGCGGGCCATGGGCCTTCAAATGGGCATGGAGGGGTTCCCACCCCGGGCCGTGTGCCTTCAACCGCGCACGGAGGGGTCCCCACTCGCGGGCAGCGCGCCTTCAAGCACACACGGAAAGATCCCCACTCGCGGGCCACGGGCCCTCAACTGGGCATGGAGGGGTCCGCACCCGTGGTGCCTGCGCCCTAGAAAACGCACAGACGGGTCCCTACTCGCGGGCCTGGCGTCCTCACCCTCACACGGAGGGGTCCCCACCGTTGAGTTGAGCGTCCTCAACCTCGCACGCAGTGCTCCCCACCTACGACGGGCTGTGCGCCCTCAATTCCCACGAAGGAGTCACCACTGGCGGGCCACACCCCGTCAACCTCACACGGAGGCCCACCCGCGGGGCCGCGGGGTCCTCAACCGCTCACATAGGCCCGCCCTGAAAAAACGCACAGACGGGTCTGTACTTGGGGGCCAGGCGTCCTCACCCACAAACTGAGGGAGCCCTACTCACGGACCCCGCGCGCTCAACTGCGCACGGAGGGGTCGCCACTTTTGAGCCGCGCGCCTTCAACCGCGCACGCAGTGGTCCCCACTTACGATGGGCCGTACGCCCCCAATTCCCACGGAGGGGTCCCCACTGGCGGGCCGCACCGTGTCAACCTCCCACGGAGGACCACCCGTGGGCCGCGGGCTACCAACTGCGCACCTAGGCGCGCCCTGAAAAAACGCACAGACGCGTCCCTACTTGGGGGCCCAACATCCTCAGCTACAGAGGGAGCCCTACTCGCGGGCCGCGCGCGCTTAAGTGCGCGCGGAGGGGTCTCCACCCGCGCAGTAAGCGCGGACCCTGAACCATGCACGGAAGGGTCCCCAGCCGTGCGCCCTTACTTCCCAAGAAGGGGTCCCCCCACCCGCGGGCCGGGCGCCCTCACTCGCACACCGACGGTGGCCCCCCCTTCCCCCGCCCGCGCGAGTCGCGCGCTCACCCAGGCAGCCGAGCAGGTCGCAAGCGGTGGCGGCGCGCACGATGCGCACGGAGGCGGGGCCGCGGGCAGAGGTCCGCGGCAGGGCCAAGTCGACCCCGGGGCCCGCGGGCCAGCGCCTGGGACGCAGCAGCAGGAGGCCGAGCGCCAGGCGGAGCGCGCCGCTGCCCAGGCACAGAGCGTGGAAGGCCCGCGGCTGGAAGCCCAGCGCGAGCTGCGTGGCGGCGTCCCGCGTGGGGCAGCAGAAGGTGCCGAGGCGCGGGGATGCCATGGGTCGTGCTGGGGACGCGCGCGGCTCGGGTCTGCCGGCCGACCTGGGTCATGTGCTGGGCGCGGGGGCCGCGGGGAGGGGGCGTCATGTGCCCTGGGCCTCCCCGCGGCCCCCGCCTGATCCCCGCCCCGCGCTGGCAGAAAAGGCGCCAGGCTCAGTGAGGGCAGCGCGGAATGCCACGAGGCCTCACGAGGGTGATGCTTGGTAGCGAGGAGGAGGGGTGGGGGGCGGAGAGCTCAGGGTCGGGGAAGTCGGCTCTCTCGCCCGTCAGCAGGCCTTCCCGGGGTGGGGGGCGGTTAATTCTCCAGAACCCGGAGCCCCCAACACTGCTGTCTCATCTTAACCCATCTCCCCCAGAAAGCACACGCTCTTGCCAGGTCTGACCAGTCTGAGTCTCTGACATCCTTCATTTTGATCCGTTGCCAGTTCATAAAGAGTGACCCCGCGGTGATTAGCCTGAAAATACTGCTTTTCTATGGCCGCTCTCCACCACGGAAATCACCCTATAGAGCTAGGACTTTCGCTTGAAATCAACAAACCTTTGAAGAAAGGGGCAACTCTTTTGCCAAACTGGACACACACACACACACACACACACACACACACGTTTTGCACCTTCAGGTCCGCTCCATTATTACTCATCTGAATAATGTAGGGTTAGATTTTTCACGTTGTATATTAGCTTTCAGGAGTAATTCTGTTTAGGGAAAAAAATGTTCAAGTTTATTCAGATTTTCTTAAGGTGTGTTAGTTGCTCATTCGTGTTCGAGTCTTTATGACCCCCGTGGATTCTAGCCCTCCAGGTTCCTCTGTCCATGGGATTCTCCAGGCAAAAATACTGGAGTGGGTTGCCATGCCCTCCTCCATGGGATCTTCTGGACCCAGGCATTGAACCCAGGTCTCCTTCATTGCAGGTGGATTCTTTACCTTGTGAGCCACCAGGAAAGCCCAACTGCTTTCATTTTTAGAGGAATTGCATTACACATTGAAAATCATGCTGAATTCTATACGCATAAGTTTCAAAATGATATTAGTACTATTGGTAATATACTGAGTGAGCTTTAAAAAAAGAAAAAACCAACAACAATTCTTCAAGCTTGAAAAATAAGAGCCCCATCTAAGTTATGGCTTTACCAAAAGTGAAAGTGAAAGTCGCTCAGTCCTGTCCCACTCTTTGCGACCCCATGGACTATATAATCCATAGAGTTCTCCAGGCCAAGATACTGGAGTGGGTAGCCTTTTCCTTCTCCAGGGAATCTTCCCAACCCAGGGATCGAACCCATGTCTCCTGCATTGCAGGCAGATTCTTTACTAACCAAAACTTGAAAAAAAAAAAGAAAAACACCAACTCCATCATACTTATCATCAGGAAATTTAACAGGCCCATCTGCAGCCAGGAGCAGTCTTTGACTTCCTCCCAGCAGTAAACATGCTGTTTCAGAATTTTTCCAACCAGAGGTAAGGCATCCCTATGCTTTTCCACCACCTTCTCCCATGCCAGCGGCTCATCTCCATTTCCACCACCAGCTTTGCAGTTTTAAGTAAGACAGAGTTTGGCCTCAGCTCCTCAGCCTTCCTCCTGGAAAACCACAGGACTGGGCTTCTGCTGGGGCGGAAGGCGGAGGGGAGGTCACTGCGAGATGGAAGCAGAGACTCTAACCAGGAGCTGCAGACGCTGCCGCTTCAGAAAGATCCGCGCTGGCTTGTCTGGAAGCTGGGGGCAGCTGCTTTGATAGAAGTCATAACACACACTGACGCTGTGGAGACCTTAACCGCCCTTGGAGAGTATGCACTTGCTTGTAAACACAGGACAAACCATTGTAGGACTACTCCCCACACCCTGATTCCTTCAGAGAGCGGAGATCTCAGTACCTGTTTGGAACAGTTGATCTTCTACTTCCTTGGCTCCTGGAAGGCAGAACATTCTTTTGGAAGACCATGTGTGGAACGTGCCTTAGAAGATGAAAATGCCGCGTCTGTTCATCTGCCCTGATGCCAAAGGTTCCGGGGGCGGATCCGTGCAACAGCGTCACTGCATTTCAGTCTGTTTCTGCCCAGTGTCCTCCAGAATGGAAAAAATGCTCAAGGTTGCCTACAGAGCTTTAAGAGAATAAAAAAAAAGCACTGCGGTGAGTTACATCTTGGCATTCAACTCCTTTCCTGTCCCCCTACCCCCCACCCAGGGGGAATTCAGTAGCTCTTCAAATATTGCACACAATGGGTAGGTTTTGAACCTGGGGCTTAGTGGCTCAGTAAACAATCTGCCTGCAATGAGGGAGACCAGGGTTCCATCAGAGGTCGGGAAGATCCCCTGAAAAGGGAACAGCGGCTAGCCATTCCAGGATTCTTGCCTGGAGAATTGCGTGGATAGTGGAGCCTGACAGGCTACAGGCCATGCGGTCACAAAGAATCAGACTACAACTGAGTGACTGAGACTTAGAAATCAAAGAGTCTGGCATGTGGTTTTTGTGGGGAATTAACCTCACCTGACTTGGCTTCCGGAAGGAATCCCAGCCTTTGCTCTGAAGAAACAGCAGAAATGGATGGCTTGAGAAACAGTGCCTAAGAGAGCAGTCAGCAGAACATGCAGTGCTGCAGCCATCAGACTGTCTTGAAGTCCATGTCTCAGCCTGCAAAGAGACGAGCCCAGGCTGGAAAGGAGAGGGTGGAGTTTGTGTCCAGAGACAAAGAAGGAACCGAAGCTAACTTGAGTATCCTTATCCGAGTGCCTTCCGTGAGTTGGCTGCACTGGACAACTTCAAGTCTGGCTTAACTGGCAGCCCCCACCCTGGCTCGTCTTTCTATCTCCAGTTTCTGTCCAAGGCAGCAGAAGATGTGTGACATGTCCAAGCTCACAGAGGTCATAGAGCTGAGAGTTCAATCCAGGCAGATCACTCCGTAAGCTCCGGCAGGGAATTGGAGGTTCACCGCCCTGTCAACGTGAGTGTCTGCAAAGGGGTCAGACCGACCTAAGCACTCTCTGCGACTCGCATCTCGAAGCAACAAGAAGTCCACTTTTGAGAGGCTGGAGGCAGGTCGCAGGTGGTCTCAGATGTGATGGCATCTGAAGGTCACCGCACTTTCAAGGAAGTGTGTGTTGGGGTGAGTGTTGTGGTCCGTGCACCGGTTGGAAAAGTTTCCAGAGATGAGGCAGAATGAGAGGAGAGGAGAGTTTATCAGACTGGGAGACGCTTTTAGAACAGGGGGCCGGCTCAAGGGAGGGTTGACCCCTTTGATGGGCTAGCAGCCCATTTTTATAGCCTCAAGACAAAATTCCTACTCGAAGGGTGGCATTAGGTGATTGGTTAGGATACTATGTGTGTTAAGTTGCTTCAGTCGTGTCCGACTCTTTTTGAGATCCTATGGGCTGTAGCCCACCAGGCTCCTCTGTCCATGGGGAGTCTCCAGGCAAGAATACTGGGGTGGGTTGCCATGCCCTCCTCCAGGGGGTCTTCCCAACACAGGGATCAAACCCGGGTCTCTTATGTCTCATGCACTGGCAAGCAGTTTCTTTATTTCATCTGCCACCTGGGAAGCCCCTAGGATGCTATCAGGTGGATAACAGAGTGGGTATTTTAGCTCATATGGGGTCAGGAAACTGGCCAATTTAGATATGGAGGCTCAGGGCAACAGTTGCTATAGGACTTGATCAGTTCCAGAGATTTTTATCCTGTGACCTTGGTCCAAGGGCTCCACACCTGTGACCTTGGTATAGGGTTCCACAGGGAGATGTACAGAGTGGACACATTTATCAGTTCAGTTCAGTTGCTCAGTCATGTCTGACTCTTTGCAACCCCATGGACTGCAGCATGCCAGGCCTCCCTGTCCATCACCAACTCCCAGAGTTTACCCAGACTCATGTCCATTGACACATATACACACATTACGTATTTCAACCTTCGTTTAAATGTTATGTTCCTTTCTGAGGCACAGTATACTAACATAGTAAAGTGAGATGACTGTTTTCTGGGCAGGCATGTGCTCTGAAGTCAGATCTCAGCTAACAAAGAGGCAGTCTGCTCACTAACCACAGACTCTCGCTAATTTCGAAATGACTGCTACACTGCTAAGGGAAGCAGCCATGAGCAGGGGAGAGGAAATCCACACGAACCTCAAGGGCTTGACTTGTGGCGAGAACTCGTGTTTGCAGATGACGTAAATTTACATGCAACTGGTCACATACATGGTGGAAACGTGTCTAATACCCAGAGCAACAGCTCCATCTCGGAAGGACCGAAAGACACTCATAGAGAAAGTGTGGGTCTGTCCGCCCCCTGAGGGAGCCATGGTTTGCACGTGGTGGCTCTTCCCTTCGGGTCTTTGGGTCTCATCGTGATGTCTTTGGTGTGGGTCTCATCCACCGTGAAACATGTCCGTAACCCCGGACTCTCAAACTTGTGACAACACTTTAGTCTATCAAGGGGTCAGAAAACTTTATTCTGAAGAGAAAAGTGAAAGTTGCTCAGTCATGTCCGGCTCTTTGCGACCCTGTGGACTATACAGTCCATGGAATTCTCCAGGCCAGAATACTGGGGTGGGTAGCCTTTCTTTCTCCAGGACATCTTCCCAACCCAGGGATCGAACCCATGTCTCCTGCATTGCAGGCAGATTCTTTACCAGCTGAGCCACCGGGGAAGGCCTGTTCTGAAGAGGCTAGATAGTACATATTTTTGCCTTTGCAAGCTGCATGATCTCTATGGCAGTTACCCACCACTACCCTGGGGGCCCCAGGGTAGCCAGTGGCAGAAGGTAAGTGAATGGATGAGACATGGTGCCAATAAAGCTTTATTTACAAAAAGAGACGGCCACATGCCACAGGGCATGCGGGATCTTACTTTCCTGGAGATCTTACTTCCTCTGCCGGGGAATCCATGCCCGCTGCAGTGGACGCACAGGGTCTGAACCACTGGACCACCAGGTAAGTCCCAATCTAAAATTATTCTGAAATGTAAGAAACTAAATTGTTTCAAAAGCCAATCACACAATAGTTCCTGCAGGCT